TAGTATAATTAGTGGCCACCTTTGTCCTCCCTGTACATTGTCTTTATGCTTGGCTTTTGATATGAATCTCTGAAATCAGTAGGTATCAGTTTTTATGACTATTTCCACCATTAAATTGTTTGTTTCATGTGATAATTTAAAAGCTACATCATAACCTAAGCTGTAAATCTGAAGCAGAGTTATATCTGATTCAACGCCTCTCCTTTGTCAGAGACTATATTTAGGTGATACAGAGATGAATAAGACTGAGGTCCAACTTGAAGAAAGTATAGACAAACACAAAAGTGATAATACAATATAATACAACAATATAGATTGTCTGATGGGAATAAGAATCACAAGACCTGGGATCTGAGCAGAGAGCGCAATTCTTAAAGAGCCACTAAAGAATAGAAGCAAGGAATGTTAATCAGATGAAACTGTATTTAGATTCTAAAGAGCATGACATGAAAATTAAGAGCATGGACTCCAGAGCTCTCTCACTTACTAGACAGGTGATGTTAGTTACCTCTTCTTTCAAATAGAAATAACTGTCCTTACCTCTAAGGGTTTGTTAAGAGCATCAAATGAGTTAATGTTTGTAAACATTTAGAGCAGATCCTAGCACTTAGTAAATTTCATGTATTTGTAAAATCAACAGATAGTACAAAGACTTGTAATTTGACATAGTTGAGGAATAGCAACTAGTCTTTTTTGAGATAAATTCAAGTTAGAAAATTGGAAGGAAACTAGATTCTGAAAAAACTGAAATAAAATGTTAAAAAATTTGGATTTAATTATTTGGTTCTCCAAGGGCAGCACATGTTTTGAAAGAGGAAAATGGCATGATCAAATTTATGATGAACAGAGTGAAGAAATATTGATATGGTAGGATGACTTTTTTCCATTGAAAATTTGTTTAAAGAAATATTAAACCATAAAAATCTTACCCTTTCTCTCCAAAAGCAAAACATTTGTCCAGATTTACCAGGGAGTTTCTAATAGAAATGATAGTTTTTATTGTTGACACTTTGAAGAACACTTCCAATCTAAAACTTTGTAATATCCAAAATCAGATGAGTTTTACTTACAAATGATCATAGATATGGACATTAACAAGTGAGAGTTTGAGTCTGTGGTTCAAATAAGTTTTTAATGACATTAAGTATCAATGTAAAGAATAATTGCAATTCTTTTTGCTTATTGTTCTACAAATTACTTTTTTAGTTTTTCTCATTTTAACGATTTCATTACACTTTGAATGCCACTTTCCTACACAGAACTATGGCATGACAATGTCTAAGAATTATCATTATAACTCAACTATCATAGTAATAGATCTTATCACTTTATCCATATTGTTGTGTTACTGTAACCTAACCTAGCTTCATGCTGAAAAACATTTTCTACTAGCTTTTATTATTTTTTGTTTTCTGGTCTAAAGAAAATCTTTAGGGCATAGATAATAGGTGAACAGAGATGGTGTTTTCAATAGTGTTGCGCTCTTGTTTCCTCACCTACAAACAATGAGAGTACCTTGTTTCCAACTTTGTTCTCTGGACTTCAAATTTAGTCTCCAACTACAAATACCTCTTCTAAGTATGACCATTGCTATGGAAAGAAATGAAAAACATTCCCCATAAGAGATACGGGTAATCCACAAGACTAGTAGAATATAGTGACCACTGAGGGGAAGAAGTTTTAATGAATATTTATTATATGGATTAGTCAAACGTTTATTTCTTTGTCTCTAGGATACCGACAGTGTAACGCAGAAGAATTTAGTTGTGCTGATGGGCGATGTCTTTTAAATACTCAATGGCAGTGTGATGGAGACTTTGACTGCCCTGACCATTCTGATGAAGCACCTTTAAATCCAAAGTGCAAAAGTGCAGGTACAGGCAATATAATAACATGATATTATTTAAAAAAAAATTATAATGGCAAAATTATTATTTGGATTTTCAGTCTAGTATGATGTTCAGTGAAAGGAAATGCAAATCAATCACATGAAGTTTCTGGTCATATCATAACCGGATCCTAGTATTCAACTGTGTTTTGACACTAGGTTTAGAAATTTAAGTTTGTGCCAAAAATATGAGGATTTGAGTCAATGATTCTAATCAGTCCTTCCTCCCCTGAATCATGTTGGCCTTAATTTTTTTTATATACTTTATGTGAAGATAGTTTTCCTCTATGAGCCTATTTGAAAATTCAAACATAAAAGAAGTTGATATTTGCTGCAAAATTACATCTATATTATTCATACTTAGGCAAAATGAAATAAATTGCATATTATTTAATCAGAAACATATACATAGTCAACCTTAGTTTATTTATTATTTCAGTTCAACAATGACTGAATACATAATCACACATTTATAATAACTCAATTATTTTTTCTCATATAGCTTACATGTTAAGTTTTCTTTTAGGATGTATGATAATGAATAATGTCCAAATCATCAAGTTATGAGTAGCTGCAAGACCTGAACTCCTTTCCATAGCTATATTTGGAAAAGCTATTATTCACCATAAATGGCCTTTTTATGCCCTGACTTAAAAATGTCAATGTTATATTTCTAGGAAGAAAGAATTTAGGAATATCTACCTATTCTGGCTCCTTAATTTTTAGTGACATATAATTTTTCAGAGACCTATGGCTTGAGGAAATGTCAAACTATCATTACACTTTTGAACTTATTTTTCACAATACAGACTAAGACAGAACTATTCCGTTAATTTTACTATAGATGCTTATTTTGATTGTTACTTTTTATGGTAAAGCTAAATTTACTATAAATACTGGAATGAAAGTATAGTTTGCTATATTTTATGTATAAAATATTATACTGACTATAAAGCATTCTATATGTACATATGTTGACTATAATTTTTGACAGATAAGTTATCATATTTGTGAATTTTTTCAGCAATTGTAGTATAAAAAATGGCATGCTCTTTATGTTGCATTTGTTTTATTTTTGTTTTTCCAGAACAGTCATGCAACAGTTCATTTTTTATGTGCAAAAATGGCAGGTGCATTCCCAGTGGAGGTCTTTGTGACAATAAGGATGACTGTGGTGATGGCTCAGATGAGAGAAACTGCCATATAAATGAATGTTTGAGTAAGAAAGTCAGTGGATGTTCTCAGGATTGTCAGGACCTTCCAGTCGGTTACAAGGTAGGTACTCATCCATAATAGCAAGTTAGATGATACATTCAAATTTGAGATCATGAAAACTCTTTAATCCAACATAGCTGTAAACCTTGAAGGACATTATAATATTGTGAACTATTTAAACAGGGAGGGTCTATATAAGGAAACAATCATAATAGTGTGGCATAAAAATTGTGAGAATACAGTCAGAAAGACAAAAAAAATTCAAATTATTTTTTAAATATATTCAGCCCATAATAAAAAGAGCAAGGCAAGACTAGTGTTTAGTAAATATTGTTGCTGTTAGTTGTTGTCTAGTTGGCTCTGACTCATGATGACCTTATGTATAACAGAGCAAAATGTTGTCCATTGTCAATCATTGAAGGTTTTATTCATTTTCACTGTCCGTCTACTTTACCAACCATGATATCCTTTTCTAGCAATTGATCTTTCCTGATAACATGTCCAAAGAAAGTGAGCCAAAGTCTCACCATGCTCACTTCTAAGGAGCAGTTTGGTTGTATTTCTTTTAAGACTGATTTGTTCATTCTTCTGGCAGTCCAGGGTACATCTGATACTCTTGACCAACACCACAATTCAATGCATCAATCCTTCCTTTTTCATTGTCGAGTTTTCACATGCATATGAAGCGATTAAAAAGACCATGGTGCCTGATTACTGCTATATTAATAGCTGAAAAAAATACGTATGCAGTTATTAATTTCCATTTCCCTCATATGCATTTTTGAAATGGCATGGAGAGAGCATTTATTTACCACAACACTGGAGAATACAATATTTTGCATATAAGCGGGGTGGAAAAAAAAAAAACACAGAAAACATGAATTATTAGTACTGAGTATTGGCACACTAAAAATAAATCATACCTAACATCCTCTTTGCTTTTTGTTAGTACTGTTTGCCTGCAGAGGGTGATTCACTGACAAAATTGATTGACAGAAATAGCTGTTTAAAACATATCCATTTCAATATGCTAGAATAATGGATGCAAACTAACAAAATATTAAAATGTAAAGTTGTACACTAGGTTTAAAATCAGTTATATAAGTGTGGAAAAACTTCAGTATGAACAATGCATTTGAAAATTAGTGTTTTTAACTGAGGCATGGATCTAACTGAATAAAAATAAGGCATAGCTTGTATAAAACATAGAGGCAGTCTAATGCCAATTAGACCATTACAGTGGTTAGATTTAGTTCTGAGGAGTGAACTGAGAAGAACTCA